ACTACGGAAGTAGGATTGCCCAACTTTCCTTCCGAGGAGTGGCTGGTGGGTTTGAACTGCCAGCCTTCTGGTTAGCAGTCAAGTGCCTTAGCCACTATGCTACCAGAGCTCCCCCAAATATATTAGTAATTAAAATTAAAAATAGACCAATACCAAATATACCCATGGTAGGATATTTCCTAGTAAAATTAAGGGGAAAAAAAAAAAAAAATCAAATTATACGCTGCTTACAGACAGCTAAAAATCACAGTAAAAGGTTGAAAATAAAGGAATAAAAAAAGCATAAGCTATGCAGATACTAACCTAAACAAGCTATTATAGCAATGTTGGGAGCTCTGGTAGTGTAGTGCCTAAGGCACTTGACTGCTAACCAGAAGACTAGCGGTTCAAACCCACCAGCCACTCCTCGGAAGCAAGGTCGGGCAATCTATTTACGTAGTGATACTGCCTTGGAAACCCAAGGAAGGGTTGCTATGAGTCGGGTCCAACTCCACAGCAAATAACAACAACAACAATATCAATGTTAACACTAAAATAGAATTTAAGGCAGAAACTATTGATAAAGAAAGACATTAGAGGATCATAAAAGGAATAATATGCAAAAGAACATATAGCAACTTTGATCCTTTATGCACATACAACCATATAAAGCAAAAATTGACAAATGGATAAATCCAGATCCAGGATGAGAGTTTTTAACACACTGATATCAGAAAATAATAGATCAATCAGTAAGGATACCCAAGTTTTGACCAAATTAAGTACCAAGCTTGACCTGTAAGTTCTATCTAGAACCCTAAATGCACACTGAAAATACACATTCTTTTTAGGTACATGTTAACATTTACAAAAATTGATTATGAACTGGCCACTAAGGAAATTTCAATCAATTTTTAAAACTCAGTGTTGCATAAACTACATTCATTGACCATAAAACAATTAAACTAGAAATCAACAATAAAAAGATTTTACACATACACATTTGTAAACTCTAAAATACACCCTAAAAACCTAATGGATTAAAGAGGAACTCTCAATGGAAATGATAAATTATATATAACTGAACAACAGTAGAACTACATATCATTGTGAAGTGTCGCCAAAAGGGAAATGTGCTTTGAGGGAAATTAGTTGTAGTAAAGTGTTTTTTTTTTTTTTTAAAAAAGACTGAAAATGAAAACAAAAGTAAGCTTTCAAGCTCAAGAAATTAAAAAAAGAGTAAACATAAATAATACATAGAAGGACCAAATAAAAGAACAGAAGTTAATGAACTATCAAACCAAAACCAAAAACTAAACCCATTGCTGTTGGGTCGGTTCCAGCTCATAGTGACCCCCATTGGGTTTCTGAGGTGGTAAATCTTTATGGAAGTACATTGCCCAGTCTTGCTTCTGCAGAGTGGCTGGTGGGTTCGAACCACCAACCTTCTAGTTAGCAGTCAGATGCCTTAGGTACTGTGCTACCAGAGCTCCTTAGTGAAGTATGAAAGATAAAAATAAAAGCAATGGACAGGGATGGTTATCTGTGACTGCTCAACACTGCATTCTCAGCATTTAGCAAAGTGCCTCTTAGAAGGTATGTTTATCACAGAAAATTCAGAAAATAAATCTAAGCAAAACATTTTAAAAATTCAGTATCTCTTGAGTTTCAACAGATGATTCTTTCTCTTTTTACCTACTGTCACCATTCTCTCTAGAGTCCCTGGGTGGTGCAAATGGTTAACTGCTTGACTTCTACTAGCAGAAAGGTTAGGATTCAAAGTCACCCAGAGGTGCCTCAGAAGATAGGCCTAGCTATCTGCTTCCAAAAGGTCACAGTCTTGAAAACCCTATGGAGCTCTACTCTGCACAATGGGGGTCACCATGAATTGGAATCAACTTCAGGGCAACACCAACTACCCTTCTGGAAAAAAATTGGAATGATTTCCTGGACCTGCTCCCTCCCCAACTCTAACGGTGCTCAAAGCCACCTGCACCACTAAGAGCTTTTGCTAGGATGGACTCACTAGGTTTAGCTCTGTCTCAGCAGCCAGGTATGCTTCTAGTGGCCTGCCTAATCTGCTCCTTAGACAAACCCTTGGCAGGTCTGAATTCCTCTTATACTCAAGCAGTGAGCTCTCTGTTCCATGTGTAAAAGTGAAAACTGGTAAATCAAAATGTGCAATAATGAGGGACTTATTACATATTTTATGATATAATTATACAACACATTATATAATGGAGTAACTGGCAATCACTACAATTTCCTTTCTATAATTCTTAATGACACAGGAGAAAATATTCATTATATATTGTTACGACAACTTTTAAATAGCAAGCACTGTGTGATCCTATTTAAAAAAAAAAACCCAAATATATATGTATGAGTGGTAGTTTGGTCTGTGTGTCAACTTGGCTGGGCATGGTTGAGTGGCTGGGCAGCTGGTAGTAGTCATTCCTGTGATGAGACTGGCAATCAACTCCATGGTGGCATCTACCACAAGCAGCTGAGTAGCTGCCTTTGTGATGTGATCTGCTTCCTGTATATGAGGAGAAGCTTTGGGAATGGTGTCTAGCTTTTGGCACGCTTGGACCCTGCATGTAGCTGTGTTGTTGCTCAGCAGCCTGCTATGCTCTGCCGACCTTGGGACTTACAGTGGACTTAAGTTAATGGCCTGCTGTGTGGATTGGTGACATCGGGACTGTGCCTTTTTACTTGTCAACCTTGGGGCTTCTCAGCCTCAGCAGCCAGCAGCTGTCTGAGTGAAGAAATGCCTCTAGCTCCAGTGGGCTGGGAGCAGGAGGCAGAGTTGGGCCCCAAGGTTGAGGGGCTTTCACCCAGCCCCTAGAGCCTAGCACTTTGAACTTGGACTTAAAGCCTCCAAATTGTAAGAATAAACTCCTGTTTGTTAAGACCATCCCATTTGTGGTATATATTTCCTGTCAGAGCGGCACTAGGTATCCAGAACAGTATGTATGTAACAAACTTACATAGGGTAGAAGGAAATAGCTAAACATGTTAACAACAATTATCTCTGAGTGATGGGACTGCAGATAATTTTTATTTTCTTTTTGATGCTCTTATGTATTTTCAGATTTTCACCATGCATTATTTACCTTTTTTAAGCATGTATTACTATTAGTAGTATTTACTAATTTTACTTTTTGTTGTTAAAAATATACACAACAGAACTAGAGTAACTGAAGCATAATTTACACACAATAAAATGCACTTATTTTAAGTATACATTTCAATGAATTTTGATAAATGTATACACATACCATGTAACTACCACCTAGATCAAAATAATATTTCCATCACTCCAAATATTCCCTTGTGGCCCTTTATTTATAATCAATCCCTCCAGCCCCAATTACTGAATAATCTTCTGTCACGTTAGATAAGATTTCCCTTTTCTAGAATTTTACATAAATGGAGTCATATAGGATATTACCTTTTTTGTCTGTCTTCTTTCACATATACTGTTTTTGAGATTTATTCCATCTATAGAGTATATTGGCAATCCATTCCTTTATATTGCTATATCAATATAGATATCCTGACTTCTACTCTGCCCCTTCTGCATGGCGTAGTACCTAAGGCATCTGACTGTAAACCAGAAGGCTGGTGGTTCAAACCCACCAGCCACTCCTCAGAAGGAAGGCTGGGCAATCTACTTCCATAAAGATACTACCTTGGAAACCCAAGGAGGGGTCACTATGAGTTGAATTGACTCGATGGGCAGTGAGTTTGGTTTTTCTTTTTCCTTAAGTGTACTCAACTCATTTGATTAACTTTATCTCACTATTATTATTTTTTAAATAATACTTTATTGTTTTTGGTTAAAGTTTACACAATAAATTAGGTTCCCCTTTAATAATTACTACACAAATTGTTCAGTGACATTGGTTACTTTTTTTTACCAATATGTCAACATTCTCAATTCCATTCTGGATGTTTTGTTTCCACTAATCTGGTTTCCCTATCTCCTTACCCTTTCATCTTTGTTTTAGAGTAATTGCTGACCATTTGGTCTCATACAGATGATTTTTCAAAGGTACTTGCTGGCAATACTATTTTAAAGTTACTCACAGTAATACTATTTTAATACTGGTAATACTATTTTATAAACCAATCTGTTATTTTGCCAAAAGGGGTAGTTTCAGTTCAAAGTTTATGAAGTATCTCAGCATGATAGCCTTGAGGAATCCTCTAAGCCTCAACTAGTCCAGTAAGTCTGAAATTTTTAAGACTTTATGAGTTCTCTTCTACATTTTTCTACTCTTCTACTAGGATCCATCTATTGTGGCTCTTTGATCAGAAGAAATGTTAATGGTAGCTGGGCACTATCTATTTCTTCTGGTCTCAGGGTAGATGAGGCTGTGGTTTATGTGGTCTCTTAGTCCTGTATACTAGTTTCTTTTCTGAGTCTTTTGTTTCCTTCTTTCTCTTTTACTTTAGATGAGAAGAGACAGTATTATAACTTAGACGGCTGCCTGTAAGCTTTTAAGACCCCAGACACTCTCACAAAACTAGGATGTTGAACATAAGCTTTCTGAACTCTATTATGCCAACTGACCAAGTTGTCCAGAAAACCAATCCTGTGAAGTATTTGGTTATGTCTAAGAAGTATCTGTAACTGTGCCCCCATGTGCTTTATTATATATATGAATATATATGCATGGACACACACATATAGATACATATATACATGCACACATGTATACAGACCTGTACACATAACTACATGTATAATTTTTTATTGTTGTTGCTGTTGCTGCAAAATTATATATATCCTAGCATTAGCATGTATTATTTTTATAATCAGAAAGAGGTAAAAATAATTTAGAATATATAAATTCTAAGACCGAGCTGGCATAGTTCTAAAGCTCAGGGATAAGTGCTCTACTGTTGTGCAAAGTCCTCAGTCAGGACCTCTGTAGACGCAGGATTTTGAGGAGGTAGGAAATTTGGGGTACAGATCTGGAGTTGGCATGTGCAGGAATTTTTCATATTCTCACCTTGGCCTGTGCCACCTCTTCATTGGTGAGCACAAACAGGACATTCTGGGTCTGAAGCAGAGAAAAGGGCAGATCCAGAAGGGAGATGTACTTGCGCACTACATTCACAGTCTGAAGCGTGAGCACAGAGCACCCTGGTTGGGGGAAGGGGAGGAGATCTTGTTGCTTCCAGGCATGCTTTCCCCTGAGCACCTGCCCTGTCCTTGGCTCAGGGCAGTGGCCATGGACTTGCCAGATGACTCTGTAGAACCAAAGCTGCTCTTTGCTCATCATTCTGGCAGGTGGAAGAGTGAAAGGACCACAGAAGACCTGGTTGGCTACCTTTTAGCCCCTATATTCCCAAGTAAGACATGGTTGGCTGCTAGAGGTTGGTATCTGGCTACTTCAAGATTAAAGGAAATGCGTGAGACAGGGACTTGGTTCTAGTTCTGCCACTAAAGAACTGACAGACTTGGGAAAATCCCTTAATGTTTCTGAGCCATGGTTTTCTCTGTGGCTGAGCTGCCCTCACCCTCCCCTTGGCTGGCTCTCAGTGTATTTGTAAATTTCACTGTGTAAGTTTCTTAGAGGGACAGCAACTATTGGCCTTTTGCAAAATGGACAGGCCTTACCTTTAGGTAACCTCCCTTCTGAGTGTAGGGTCCTGGAGGAGGGAAAAAAGAATAAGAGTAAGAGTTACCTTATTCCTTACAAGACGACCCTTACAGAGCAGTGCTGCCAAGCCTAGGGCCTCTTCCCAGTAGCTTTTCAGGAATTTTATTTTGCATAAATCACCACAAAGACCTCTGGGTACAGCTGAGGGTACCTTGCTTAAGGATAGTCAATCCAGAGGCTAGCCAATGGCTTAGGAAGTGCTTGGTCCAAGCTTTGCCCATTAGGGATGACTCTTCAAAGTTTTTCTCCTGAAATTATACTGGGGGTATGATGGGGAAATACTTGTAAAACGCTCATTGATATTTTTCCCCTGATATTTCCTTTCTCTTTTTTGACGTCCTCCATTCTCACCTTTTGAGGGGTATGGTAGTTAAGGTTGTGTGTGTCAACTTGGCTAGGCCATGCTTTTGAGTGGCATGGCACCTGGATGTAGTTATTCCCCATGATGAGACTGTAATCACCACCATGGTGGAATATGCTGTGAGATGTTAATCAGTGGAAGAGGCATGACATTTGGAGTGTGGCCTGCTTCTAATATACATGGAGAAGCTTTGAGAAAGGTCTCTAGCTTTTCGGCACATTTTGGGCTGTGTTGCCTGCTGATCTTGGGGCTGTTCCTGGACTTAAACTAGTGGCCTGCTTTGATGCCTGCTGATCTGGGATTGACCCATTCACCTACCAATCTTGGGTTATCAGCCTCAGCAGCCAATAGCTGCATGAGTCAGAAGAAGCCTCCAGCTCCAATGGGCCTGGAACAAGAGGCAGAGCTGAAGCCCAAGGATGAGGGGCTTTTACCCAGCTGCTAGAGCCACCACTCTGAATTTGGACTTCTAGTATCCCGAACTGTAAAATAATAAATTCCTATTTATTCCACTTGTGGTATTTTATGTTATAGCAGCACTAGAGAACTAAGAAAGCAGATAATGCCATTCTGTGCTCACTGCCATAAGAGGGAGGAATGAAGCAGGCCCCACAAAAGTGATTTCCAAGTCTCTTCCAGGCTTTGTAGTTGGGATGCCGAGAATAGAGGAGGATGGAATAGAGCAATCCCACCCCACCCTACCCTCACCCCACATATACACATACATGGGAAAGGGTTTCTTGGGAGCAGGGGATAAAGGAGATAATTTGACAGAGAATTGATAAATACATGGGCCTGACTCTCTGGCAGAGGCCTGTGAAGTAGAAAAACCTCAAAAGGGTTTCTGGGTAGAGCCCTGGAGAATTCTGAGCTTGAGGTGGTCCGGACATCTGAGTAAAGCATTGGGAATGCAGGATCTAAGTTAAGTGGAGAGGTAAACGGTGGAGACACACAACTAGAAAATCTGCAGAACTTAAAGCCACAGATGAATCTGTCTTGAGAGAGCCCAGGGTTGGGAAGAGAGCTTTGGGAACATGAACATGGAAAGGGTCCTTGGTAAGAGGAAAGCCAGGAGGACCCAGAGAGTAGCCAGAGAGGTCAGGGGAAGGAGGACAAACAAGTGGAAGAAGTTAAAGATACACTGATAGGGGGACAGGCAGGGTCAAATGCCAAAGAAAGGTCAATAAACTTAACTAATCTAGTAGCCAGAAGATCCCTGTGACTACAGAGAATAATTTCAGCAGACTGTGGGGATCAGAAGGTGGGCCCAGAGGGAAGGGAGAAGGAAGGACACAGAAGTAATTGACTGTAGGTAGGATGGAATGGAGGGAGCACCATCACCTGCTGCTTGTGTGTGTTGGCTAGGGGCTGGAAGCCCTCGGGAAGGATTTGGAATAATCCCTGGAGAAGAGGACATGTTGCAACCATAAGACCTCCCCTGCAGTTTGAGCGCAACTCAGACTAAGGAGGGTATGGTGATGGAACGAGCTCATGGAGCTCACAAATGCAACTCAGGGCCAAGAAATGGGAAAGGAAGGAATGGTTCATGAAACAAACCTTGTCCCCTTCACATTTCTGCTGGGCCACTGGATCACACTGGAGCTGCTATTGGGACAGAGGCTCAGATCTGTTATTGAGATGAGCTCCTAGAGGTAACTGAGGGCACCAGGTTGGTCTTGAGTTGTAGAATGGTGATTTGGTGCTTGGAAATGGAATGCCAGCTTTTGGGCTGCCTCTACTAGGACATGTTCCTACAACTTGTGGAGTGGCTGCATTGTCAGCATTTTTTCCCCCTGGTTCTGTATCTGCTTTGGTTTTCCTGGCAGAGGTGTTCCTGGGAACTTCCACATGGAGCCCAAGCAACCATCTATAGCAGAAAATGTATAAAAGAAAGGGCTAGAGGGCATGTGGAAAGGTAGAGAAGAATATGTACTTATTACGTTCTGTTTACTGCTTAGATGTTTCATATTATTATCTCATTTCTCAAAAACAACTTGACAGTTTAGGTGGGAATACTCCTCTTATCTTTCACATGACATAACTAAAGCTCAAAGAGGTCAAGTAATTTCCAAGGCACACAGTTTACTTACTACTGAAGCAGCAATGAGGTGCCACTCAGCATTAGGAAAGGAGATGAGAGATCAAGTTACAGTTCTGCTTTGTATTTTACCTCTGGGTAAAATTACTGCGATTTTCTGAATGTGCATGTTCAGCAATGGCTCTAAGAAGCCCAGAGTCTGAAGTCCTCACCTCCCCCATGACATCTGGTGATCCCTGTTTCTAGCTGACGACTGCAGATGGACTTCTGCTGCTAGGTAAAGCTGTTAGTCACTCTGGGAATGATGGAGAGTAGTTTCACCTCTGCACAGAGTGAGCTGCAAGGTGGTTCTGGTTTCAAATATGGGAAGGACAAACATGACTGAGGCTGACAAAAATGGAAATACCTATGGGAAGATGGGAGAAAGAGAAGCAACAAGCTCAGGGAAAGAAGGAGAGGATTCCTAAGGATGAAGGCCTAGCAGGGGTCCGGCATAAGTGGATGGAGGGTAGAAGGCTAAGTAAGAACTGAGAAGCAGATCCCAAAACAGCTACGATGCTAGTAATCAGGGAAATGACTGAGAAGAACCATAAAATCTAAACCATTTTCTGAGGGAAACGCACATAGCAGGTGGGGAGCTACAAAGAGGTATGAACGAGAGAGCTCAGGGGGCTTTTATGGAAAACTATATAAGACATTGGCATAGGAAGTTTTTTTTTGGGGGGGTGGGTGGGAGAAGGACGTGAGATGCTCCTAGGCGAAATGGCAACTACGAACTCCCCCAGGAGCATAGGTGTGAGGGAGTGGGGAAAGGCTATGTAAGGCCATTTTCAAAGTAGCATGGACAATAAGTTGAATAGATCTTGGCATATCAATAAATGGTTTATCTCAAGCACAGATCTGGAAATATTGAGAACCATTGAAACTTCTGCCTCTTCTGAGAAAAATGGCCCTAGGTAGCTCTGTCTGCATGAAGCTGTCCACTTAGATTCTTTCTGGAATGAAGTGAGGACACCTCAGCGGTGCCAGGACCAGCAATCTGGCGCAGTGTAAACTGGGTGAAAATGAAAAGATCAGCGTGCACCTGATATGAGGCTGAACTATTGCTCCATTCTCCATGGGCCTGTAGTCCATAGTCTCTGAGTAATCATATGGTTGGAAAGAAGCTTCTGGACTACCTCATTTTTTCATATATCTTCATAAAAAATCACATCTCTGACTACAACTAGGAGATGTCTCTTTTCAGGATCTGAAGGGGCTTAATACAACTAGCAACACAGCTCTACAATGTGGCCCGTGTGTTCTTGTTGGGTGTTGTCAAGTTGGTTTTCCTTTCATAACACCACCATGTGACAGAGTAGAACTTTGGCTATAATATTTTCAGAAGCAGATTGCCAGGTTTTTCTCCCCTAGGGCTACTGGGTAGGTCTGAACTGTCAATGTTTTGGCTAGCAGTTGAGCACTTAACCATTGTGCCACAAGGGTTCCTTGCAGAGTCTTGTACAAATCCTTAAAGTCTTATACATGTGTTACAAAAGGCTACAAATTTCCCCTAAAAGTTTTCTGTGGCCAAAACAAAGAGGGAAATAAAATCAGTTAACCCACTTGCAATACCCATGGAGTAAAAAAGTTTGGCTATTTAGCAGGAGATAAGCATTCCTACTAATAAGGCTTGAAATAAATTTCTCCCAGAGAGGACACATGGCCAACAATAGCTCTAATAATTCAACAGTATGTTTCATGGAGATCAGATAATGAATGGAAACCTCATACTCTAAGCAAATGGACAAACCTTCCACCTATGTTACCCAGAGAATCATACCTCACACCTGCATGAACAGCAATGTGATTGATGTGACCACTTACTCCTCTGGCATCAAAAGTCACCACCTGTAGAGAAATAGAGGATTTCAACCATGCCTGTCTTAATGCTTTCCAAAGAGGGGGGAAAAAAATCTCAGTTTCAAAGTGACGGCTTTCACTCCCTTTGGAAGGAAAGGAGAAAGAAGGACCTACAACTTTTCAAATTCTCAGTGAGACTCTCTGGACTGACTTCTGAGCCACTCACTGGTAAGTAACTATTGGTTTGTATGATTGTACAGAGACTATTTCCATGGGCTTTATGGTTTACTCTTGCTCCTGGCTTATGGAGCAGAATGGAATTCAGCTATGATAGAATCTTGGGTTCAGAATATCTTTGTTGCATAATAATCTGTTTAGCCACTGGCATGTCCAGTTTTCCACAATGGCTGGATACTCATATAGATACTCCTGATTTATTTGGTCTCTTCCTTATGCCATACTGAAGGTACAGAAGCTTTGAGACACATTGTCCACATGCACCTGGAGTTGAGTTAATGGAAAAATTGTATTTACTCATAGATTGCCTCAATTTCCATCTCCACAGACTTATTAGTATCTGTTTATTAACTATAAGCTCCGTCTAGGTTCTAACATTTCATTTCTACACAGATGGATTAAAAAAATAAAAAAAATAATAATAATAGTAATCATAAAAGGATAGCTTGAACAATAAAAATGTAAGGAAAACCAAGACTCAAGAAAACGAATAGTAATAGTTGGTCAGGTGTGATAGAAAGAGGCAAGGAAAGAAGGTGACTAGGCATCATGGATGAAAGGATTTGGAAATGGGATTGGAATAGGCTGGGAAGAGATTCTTTGTTTTAAACTGTAAAAACTGTAAAACGTGATGGCTTCATGTACAGAAAACTTTGTACAGCAGCTAATGTTTATTGCTCACAAGGTACTATTATTAATCCTATGCTACCAGGTAGAACAACAGTTCTTTCTTCTTACTAGAGTAGGGTAGGAAAGAGTATTTGGGGACTGGTCCTAGGGAAGCCACTCTAAGGGAACAAGGTAACTCTCCCAAAGGGTACTACAGCACATGTCACACACCTTATTAATTTATTCCACTCTGTCTTGAAGATCACTTCTGGCTAGGTATATAGGCTGTGGAGCCCAGAGAAGTCCTGACTTTGTGGGCTGCGCAGGAAGGCAGAAAGCCGAGGCAAGTCCAGGCAGCAAAGCTGGACATTTGACTCCTAACCTCATGAATCTAACTTGAGCACCTTCAAGCTCAGGCCCTTTGGGAACATGCAGCTGGAGATGTGAGCCTGCAAGCTGCTGGTGACTATTTTTCTTACTAGAAGAAAGAACAAAGCCAAGGCAGAGTACAAGATGGAGAAGAGGAGGGGGCATATTTGTATCTCATCCCTTCTATGATGAGAGTGAGCCAGTTTGGGGGCCTTTTTTGCCAATATGTACTAAGTTTCAGTTATATTTCTGTCATTAGAAAACAAAAATGGCCTGACTAATAATGTATCAGAAAATCTGCTCTTAAGAAGGGTCTAATAATAAATCAATTTGTTCAGTGAATTCATCAGTGATAAAAGCCTAATATGTTCTTCTGTTAGGAGGATTTGTATTTTAATTAGGATTATTTAAAAAAAAACTTTACCAAATGAATGGAGCTTAAATGGTGGGCTTTTAGGTAATAACCCTTGAAGGATTTTTTTAGTGAGGTAGACAGCTTCTTGGCAGCCTTAAAATCTACTATTGGCCAAGACAGGACTGGAATCCTAGCAGAGCTGCAATAGGTGTGGCTAGGCTTATCTGCCTTTGCAGGTAAATATGAACTGTAGTAATGGTGCTGTCCTGATAGTAACTACTATTTTCTTCCTGTAGTTGGTATGAATTTATCCTCATGTGTTATTTGGTGTGAGAAATTGAGGATTTACGATCCTAGATTTACTACTTGCCTGTTTGGGCAAATTGCTTAGCTTCTGAAAACCTCAGTTTCCTCAAAATAAAATGAGAACTATAAAACCATTTAGCTCTAAAGTTAAAATGATACTCTAAGTGTGAAAATGCTTGGTAAAGGGCAAAGTTCTATACAAATGGGAGTCTTAGTGCAATATCCTGGGAGCTCTGGTGGCATAGTGCCAAAAGCATATGACTGCTAACCAGAAGGCTGGCAGTTCAAACCCACCAGGCACTCCTCGGAAGGAAGATTGGGCAACCTACTTCCACAGAGATACTGCCTCGGAAACCCAAGGAGGGATCGGTATGAGTTGGACCTAACTCGATGACAGTGAGTCAGTAGTTAGTGCAATATCCTAGTGACCTGAGTTTTTGGGTAGCAGGATAGAGGTGGGGGAGTGAGGATGGTTAACAAGGGTGTAGTTTAGAAAAATCCTCTGCCTCTCCCTGAGCACTGATAATCAACTTAGTCTCAAAAAAGATCTATAGGATATCAAAAGATGTGTTTGTTCCACTTTAGAATTAAGAAAGAACATTGGAGGTTTTGGCCTCTTTATCAAGTTTGTCTGAAGGATGTGGGAGTGGGAGATAGTCACAAACAAAGGTTGCAGAATCCAACTGATGGACTGGGACTCAAGCCTTCTCTTCAGGGAGGATGTTCCCTTACCAGGTTGATGCCATTAGCTTCTATGTGCTGGAGGAGGAGGCTGGCCACATGCTCAGTGTCCCACTGTACACCTGGGTCATCTGGGAAAGCCCTAGAAGGAGAAGCACATCTTGAACACCTTTTCTAATTAGGTAAAAAATTATCACCAAGCTCTTGCAGGTCTGTGCTCAGTTTGTGACAGGAATTATGAGGAGGAGGTCCCTACCCTTACAGTACCTAGAGTTTAGTTAAAGAGATAAGATTTATAAACATGAAACAATTCGAAATCAATGCACAATTCTACACAATGTACTTTGGGAACTTTGTGCTGTGCTTGTTGCTAAGGGGGAAGAAACAGACATCAATGAGACAATTATTAGTCTATAAGTTGGGAGCCAGATGTGTTAACAACTAATCTGGACACAAGGCAGAATGACTAACATCTTTATAAAAATAATATTAATAGTACTTTAATTGAAAATACAAAAGTGTATCACTTCATTTAACCCCATGGAAACCTCTTGAAGGAACTTTTATGAATAATGCAAAGCTGCTTGCTTGCAAAGTTTCTTGGATTTGAACCAGGTTTTCTGACCGCAAAGCCAAAATGTTTTAGTATGAAGGAGCTAGCACCAGGGATACTGTGGAAAATCTTGAATGCCTGATCAAGAGGAATTTCCATTTGATCACCACAGCAATGCTGCCATACCAGATATATCAGGTTACAGAGGTGATATTTACAATCCAAAGTCCCCCCAAATAATTGAAATAATAATTAGCGCATCAGGGGCTGCATCACATTGTGGATCTCAGGAGCACAGGTCTCTGCTAGATTAAGATGCATCATTATCTGTGTCTCCAACTGGTCACATCACAGACCAATCTCATACTCCCACTTGCTGAAGTCCTTCTGGTTCCTCTTTAGTATATAGATCATCACATATCTGACTCCCTGTTTTGAAGATATTATTCACAGTCTTATAAATACCTATCCATCTCTCTTCTGCTCAGGTCCTGTGGCAACACCAATAATGCTACTTAAGAGAACATGGTCTCTCCATGACCATGTATAGGGTTGGCAGATGATGTTTCTACAAGTGTATTTTTATGTGCTGTAAGAATGCCCAGGTATATAGTAGAGCTGACAAGGGAGAAAGATGTGGTGACTTCTTGGTCACAGCCAGCTATCGAAAGGGAGTGAGCAGTTAGACCTGTAGGCTCAGGACCATGGTCGCAGGGGACATCAAGCTCATTGACATAACATACTACACAAAAACATTTTTCCACATCCTACTTTGGGGAGTAGTGACTGGGCTCTTAAAAGCTTGCAAGTGGCGGCTGTTTAGATGCAACCATGGGTCTCTCCTCATCCAGAGCAAAAAACAATGAAGAAAACAATGAAGAAAACCATAGATGCATTGAAACAATTAGTCCAAGGGACTGAGACACCACGTGGCCTATATGATCATGAGACCAGAAGAACTAGATGGTGGCTGGCTACCAATGCCAACCACTCAGAGGCGGGGACCTATGTAGGAGATCCTGGATAGAGTGGGAGAACAATGTGGAAGAAAACTCAAAATCATAGGGGGAAAAAAAAAAAGAGACCAGGTTTGTTGGTCTGATAGAGGCTGGTGAAACCCCTGAGACTATGGCCCCTAGCTGCCCTTCAGGTCTAGAATTGAACTCATTCCTGTGGCTTCCAGCCAAATAATAGACAGGCACATGGGCTGAACACTTATATCAGGCAGATACACTCCTTGGAGAGATCAATCATGGGAGAACAGAAGGGCAATGTATGCATAGGGAGACTGCTTGGGGGGCAGGAGTGCATGGGAGGAAAGGGCACAGGAAAGAGGTAACTATGGGGAGGAAGTGGGGAGAGAGCTGTTACAATGTGGGAAATTGCAGTCAATGTCATGAGACAAAATATGTATGAACTGCTGTATGGAAAATGAATTTGCTCTGTAAACTTTCGCCCAAATCACAATAAAAAATTGAAAAAAAATAAGAGAGAATGTGGGCTCTCTTTGCTTCCCACTGTACAGGTTGCTGTAATCTCTGTACCACCAGAGACAAACAGTTAACCAACCCAAGAAACCCATTGCCATCGAGTTGATTCTGACTAATAACGACCTTATTGTTGTTGTTGTTATGTGCCGTCGAGTTGGCCCCGACTCATAGTGACCCCTCCTTGGGTTTCCGAGGCAGTATCACTACGGAAGTAGGATTGCCCAACCTTCCTTCCGAGGAGTGGCTGGTGGGTTTGAACCGCCAGCCTTCTGGTTAGCAGTCAAGTGCTTTTAGCCACTATGCTACCAGAGCGCCCAACGACCTTATAGGACAGAGTAAAACTGCCCCACAGGATTTCCAAGGCTGTATTCATCACTGAAGCAGTCTGCCACATCTTTCTTCCATAGACCTGCTGGTGGGTTCAAACTACTGACCTTTTGGTAAACAGCCAAGTGCTTAACTACTGCACCACCAGAGCTCTGTTTTCTATAGACAAAGGCCATTAAATAACTTTCTTAGGACTTTAGGCAAAGGAGAACCACTGGAGGTTTCTGAGAAGGAAAACAACATAAACCTCAGCACTAAATAATGTAACCCCCTGTCGTTACCAACCTCTACCAAAGTCCTATGCTCCTTTCTCTAGAGGGAGTTTTACACTTTTCTAAGCACTGTCCTGTCAGCCATGCCACTTACTCCTGCACAGTAAGCAGGACAGCCAGCCATTGGGAATAGGAGGAAAGTAGACACCAGTAACAAGTCCACCCTTGTTCCCTGCAAATGGGGCTGAGTATAGTATCTGTAATATGACCTACTGAGCTCAGACTGCTAAAGGATAAATAGAGATAGGAATCATGGATAGTCAGTGACAACAGCCATATTCACATTCCTAAGTGGGAGGTCCACATAAATGTATTGAAGTATCATTTTGGAAATCAAATATATCAGTAATATTCACATGGAACTTCAGCACAGAAGTTAACAGAAGAAGTGTGAAATAGCGGGTAGGATAGTAGTTGGTTAGGCCTACTAATTCTCAGTTCTAGAGTGCTGAAAGAGGAATCCCACAGGAGTGGGAAGGTCACTGCCACCTTCCATCTATCTTCAGAGGACTGGAATCTGCTCACGGCGCCCCTCCTTGGGTTTCCGAGGTGATATCTCTATGGAAGTAGATTGCCCAATCTTCCTTCTGAGGAGTACCTGGTGGGTTTGAACCTTCTGGTTTGCAGTCAAATGCCTTAGGCACTATGCCATCAGAGCTCCCTAACTTAAGAGGGAAGTTAACAGGAAGAGCTATTACTCCGTCTTTTTCCAGTGGCTCTACCTGCTGACCATGGGTAAAAGCGCCAATAAATTTTAATTATTTGTAGCACTTTGGATTGTAAATATTCCCTCTGCAACCTACCACATCTGATATGGCATCACTGCTTTTGTGATCAAATACAAATTCCTCTTGAGCAAGCATTCAAGATTTTCCACAGTCTATCACCTATTTTTAAGGAGCTGTAGTGGTGCAGTGGTTAAGGCATTTGGCTATGCACCAAAAGGTTGGCAGTTCAAATCTACTAGCTGCTCCATGGGAGAGAGATGAGGCAGTCTGCTTTCCTAAGATTTACAGACTTGGAAACCCTATTGGGGGCAGTTCTACTCTGTCTTATAGGGTCACAATGAGTTGAAATGGACTCAATGGCAATGGTTTGGTTTTTCATCCCGTTTTGATCCACTTCATTTCTCTTTCTTTGGGAGATCAAATAAGATAACCATGTAGAAGCCTTTAAAACCATAAAGAGATGTATACATGTCAAAGAGGTGGTTGTTACTGTTTCATTTGCCTAATTTAAGCCCCTTCAAAAAGAAAGAAAGAAAAAGACACCTTCCACCTTTGCTCTGGTGCTCTTGAAGTCCCTTGCAGAGCTCTTTGAGGACTGCCTATACCAGTGATCAGAGGTTTCAAAGTTGGTGTAGGTACCCCAGGAGGTGTGTACGACAGTCCACTAAGGCAAAGCAAAAAACTACTAAAATTCCTACTTCTTTCCCCATTTTTATTTCTATTTTGTAGCTATTTTATAAGCCATTATAATAACCACACAAATACGGAGACACATGCATTTTATTTTACTTGTGTTTTGTAACCACAAACCAGATTCACTGCCTCGAGTCGATTCTGACTCATAGTGACACGCTTTGGGTTTCCAAGGCTGTAAATCTTTATGGAAGTAGATCACCCATCTTCCTTCTGTGGAGCAGCTGGTGGGTTTGAACTGTTGACCTTCTGGTTAGCCCCCAAATGCCTTATCCACTACACCACCAGAACTCCTTTATTTGTGTTATATATATATATATATATATTTAATTCTTGATTCTCCAACCTATTATAAGTGCCCTGAGAGCCAGATACTATGGTAGCCATTTAACAGTCACAATCCAGCCAACAAGAGAAACCACCAGGTATTTCAGAAAGAATTTAACACAGTGAATTGTTTAACCAATTGCTGGGGACAGCTGAGAAGCCAAGCAGAGGACAATGAAGCAATGTAGAGATTTGTTGTTGTTGTTATGTGCCGTCGAGTCGGCCCTGACTCATAGCGACCCCTCCTTGGGTTTCTGAGGCAGTATCACTACGGAAGTAGGATTGCCCAACCTTCCTTCCGAGGAGTGGCTGGTGGGTTTGAACCGCCAGCCTTCTGGTTATGAAGAGATTAGCAACAGCAAAAAGCCACTATAACTTCTAGGGTTGGGACACCAAGAGCCAAAAGGCAAGACTGATGGTGGGAACCAGAATGGCAGGAGCCAGAGTCATGGAAAACACTCAGTGACTGATGAAGCTGCCACCCAAGGTGGAGAAAAGGGTCCCCCCTGTCTAGTGGCTGAAATTAACCAGAAGCCAGATGGCACAGGAACCTGGGAAACATACTTACCACTGGTACAGAGTAAAGGAATTATATGACTATAAACACACCCAAAATCAAACTCACTGTCATTGAATCCATTCCAACCCATAGCGACTCCATTGGGTTTCCAAGGCTGCAAATCTTTATGGAAGCAGAGTGCCTCATCTTTCTTCCACAGAACAGCTGAGGGCTATGAACTACCGACCTTTTG